GCGGGCGGCCGCCCTCAGCGGCAGCAGGACCCTGCCCACCAACAGCAGTGAGTGCCCGCGGTGTGCAGCGGGGAGGCGGAGGGGAAGGGGCGCGAGGCCAGCGGGGACGGGATACTGCTGCCGGCTGCCTGGGAGGTGTCAAGCACGTGAGGTGCTGGGCTCAGGTACCTGTATCTCCAGCCACGGTTGTCTGAGACTTTTGTGGGCGTACGGGGGCTTGCTCGGTGCCAGAGAGGGAGACCAGCAGCCAGGCATGCCGCGAGGAGGGCTGCGGCTGGATCTCTGGATGCGGGCACTGAAATGGCAGACAGGCTCTGGTTGCTGGGATCTGGCTGGCACTGCTGATGCGGCCTGCAGAGGTCCGGGAGAGCTCAAAGTCTGCTCAGTCAAGCCCAACCCAGGTCTGAGGGCTGCGGCTGGGAGCACCCTGCGGGATGCCCACCTTGCCGGGAGCGCTGGCTGCCCTCTCTGCCTCAGGTCCTGCGGGGCTGCGGGTGCAGCGGGAACCTGCGGCACCGGCAAGCAGCCCTGCTGCCCTACACTAGCAATAGCTTCCCTCTTCCTCCTCCTCCTCTCCACTGTGCATCTCTTCTTACCCCAATCCAGGCTTGACAGGTTTGACCTCTCTGAAACTCTCAGGAACAAAAATGTCTGTCAGGGACTCTGCACGGGTTTCCCCAGGGGCTGAGCATACCCTGGTCTCTGCAGCCCCTTCAGCCAGAGGCAGAAAGTGGGGCTGATGGAAGGAGGGAGGGCAGAAGGCATCTGCTGCCGTCCCTCGGTGACGGAGGTGTGACAAGGCTTTGGGGTTCACCATGGACTTCTTTGCAGGTTCCCGCACAGGGCAGGACTCCTGGAAACAGGCCTGGGGGATTGGATCTGGGGGAAAAGGCGAATTTGCCCCCTCCAGATCCACAGGGTTTGCGATTTTGCCCAGCAGAGTCAGAGGCAGGTCTGACCCTGCCCAGCCAGGGGCCTGAGCCGTGGCCAGTGAGGGCAGGACCCCGGCCAGCCCGCACCGGAGCAGTGCAGCCCGGGCAGCGGCGTGCTGAGCGCGGGGCTCGCCAGCGAGGCTCCCGGGTCATCCAGGCGACAGCCCAGCTCCATGCAGCAGCGGAGCGGTGCTGCGTGTTGGGCTCACCGCCCTGGCACCCCGGTCCCTTCCCCGGCAGGCAGGGCAGAAGCGGTACCAGGCAGACAGCGTCGCCCTGGTGCGCCCAGCCCTCGGGCTGCTGCCTGGAGACCGGTCTTTCAAAACCTCCTGACAGTGAGATGCTGGGAGTCCAGCCTGTGGCTGGGCTGGCTCCAGCTGCTTTCTCTCCCAGAGACGGAATTGCAGCAGCCACGCAGGTGTCTAAGGCATCGAGTCCTAGCTGCCCCTCGCCATCAGGTGTACGTAGACCAGAGCCCCCAGCTCTGGTGTGGGGCAAAACCAGGTCTTGCTCTGAGTTCCAAGGCACTGATGAGCCTTCCCAAGCCCAGCACCCCACAGCCTCCGTGCACTGAGCGCTGGGCAGCGTTATACCCAGCTCCAGACGCCCCGCCTGGCGCTGGATGCGGGCATTATTCATTCCAGGCCCTTCTCTTTTGATTAGTAATTACTGCACTGGACAAGAGCCTGGCCTCTCCCTCCGCTGTGAGTCAGGATTGACTCCATCCCCCGGCGCGGGGCTGAGGCTGCAGGCAGCCCCATTCAGCTGGTGTTTCTCACCAGTGTCTCCCAGGAGGCAGCTCCCAGCGTCGCAGCAGAGCGGGTCTCTTCGCCAAACGTCTGGCCGGAGCCGGCGCTCCCGCGTGCCACCCCTCCCTTCCCCAACGGCCGGAGCACCCAGCACCTCTGGGGCGAGTCGGGGCTGCCTGTGCTCCCGGCAGGACTGCCATGCCCACCCGCAGTGCTGCCAGAGGAGGCTCCTGTGAACGCCCCGCGCGTTCAGCAGCCAGGTGGGAAGCGAGGAAGGCGAGCGCGTTGCCCCAGGATGTAGTTTTGCCAGGACGCTGGGGTCACTGGCTCGAGACAGCAAGGAATGGCACGGGCTGCTCAGACCTCACAGCGCTGGGAAAGCCCAGGAGGAAAGGGGTGCAAGGGCTGGTTTTCTGTCTCATCCAAAAATGAGCTGGTGCTGGCTCCCCGCTGCAAAGCCCAGCACCGCCCTGCCTGGGGACGTGTTCGGCACATCCAGGCTCCACCTGCGGCTGCCTTTACTGGAGCACCATCTGCAGCAGTGGCTTCGCTCCCTGCGGTCCACGCCTCTCCTGGAAAACACGTGCGAGGGCGGTGGGTGGCAGGGAGGAGAGCTGCTCTGGAGATGCTGCTTCTGCAAACGGCCCCTGAAGGCCTGAGCGGAGCCGACGGGTTCAGCTGTGCGAAGCTGCGGTGCGGGGAGCAGCTCTGCTCTCGCTGCAGCATTTCGGCCAGTGCGAGGCCCTGCCGGGGCGCCGGGGGGTGGGAGCAGGCTCTTGCCAGAAGGGAAACCTGTTACCTTGCTGTGATGCTTCAAGTCACTTGATCTGCATCACTTTTGCATCATTTTCTTCAAGGCAGCCTGTGTCCCTCTCGGCTCCTGGACAGCCGCAGTGCTCCGGGTGAGGCTTGGCCGTAACACAGGGCGCAAGGAGCTGAGGGGTCCCATCCTGGGAACAGGTTTGGGAACTGGTTAGAAAAGGTACTGCCTTGGTGTTCCTGGACACAGCGGCTCCTGGGCATCACGCCAGGCAGACACCAGAGCAGGCAGGAGTTTGGCATCTCACCAGGGCTGTACAGTGCTGCCGGCGGCGTGGAGGCAGCCAGCAAGCCCTGTCACCCACGGGGACGCCGGGGTCAAGTCCAGCAGGGCAGGCTGCTCTTGGCGTGGGCTCTGGCACCAAACCACAGAGCTATGGATTTCAGAGCAGCCCCAACTTATCTGCCATGGGCGAAGCTGGCGGAGCGCAGGAGCGGGCTGTTGGTGGTGCCCCGTCCCAGCAGTGGGCAGAGGGGGAGCGGGAAGAGGAGCACCAGCAGCCTTCATCCACAGGAGGAGGCAGGGACTGGAGGGGGTCCCCTGGGAAGGACCGGCTGCTTGCTCAGCCCCGACCCTCCTTCCTACCGCCTTCTCTGCTCTGCCTGTCCC